AGGCTCCCCATCCCCCGCCCGGGGCCACGCTCCCAGGACCCGGCCCCGCCTCCCCGAGGCCTCTGGCCGCCCACAGGCGCGCGCCAGGGTCCGCTACGGAGGCGGTGGAGCAAGTGGCGCCTGCTTTCTCTCATCTGCCCCACTCGCTGGCATACTAGAGTTAGCAAATGATTATGTTTATTGACAAGTTCATACATCAGTACAAACGGACACGTTAAAAATAGCCCCCGCCCCGTGCAGCCGGGGAGAAGGATTGGGAAGCGCCACGGTCGGGACGAAGTATAAAAGTTATAAATAAGGGGCTTTGAAAACTGGGGCGGAGGCAAATCTGGACGGGGGCGGCGGTTGCCGGTGGCCTCAGACATGCAGAAGGGGAAGGACGCCGTCCAGGCCACGAGAACTCCCCCTACACACACACACACACACACTACACACACGGCAGAGAAAGGGCGGCCACCTCCTCACAAACCTTAGCTAGAGGGTAGCGCCCTCCTCTTGAAGAACCTAGCCCAACTGGTGTGCGGGGTTGGGAGTGCATCGGGAGTGACTTCCAACCCTCAGGCAGGTAGCTGTGGCTCTGCCGGGGTCCGCCGCCCGCTGCGATAGTTCGTGGGTCATGCAAGCGTTGGCAGTAGAGAGGAATGGGGGAAAGCCAGATTTTGAGCGGCTCGAGCACTCAGGTCGATGCACCGGAGCTGGGCACCCTTTGGGACCCAATTCTCTGTCTCTGCCTACAGAGCAGCAGCATAGGCGAAGGGGTTTTCGTGGCCTGAAGCTGTGGTGAAGCTGCCCTGACTTTCCTGGAGCACAGGGACACAGTATGCCAGACACGTTCTTCACCTCAACTACTGCCTCAATACTTGGTCCTACTCTACCTGCCTACTATGACCTATCTCCTTCCTCTCACCCCTAACTACTGCCCCTTCTAATTCTAATCTATCCCCTCACCTCTGCCACTTACCTGTCCCACCTACCACCTTTCCAGTCTCTCTTGTCCCATACCTTCCTCCTCTTGACCTCCAGCTTCCAGCGCACCCTTGGGTGCCCAGCACTGCCTTTGAGAAGGCTCCTTACACTCGAACCAGGTGTCCTTTGCGCCACCTCATGTCAGCTAGGCTGTGGATACCAAGAACCTAGATTTGGGGTTGAGTATGTTCCATCCCCTGTTCCTGCTCCTTCATGTGTTCCACATAAGCCAGGGTGGTGAAGTGGTGAAGCTGAAGCAGGATGTGAGAGGAAACCAGGCACACATCAGCCAGTCAACAAATACTCCAGCAGTGAACACTCAACTGTGTGTGTGTGTGTGTGTGTGTGTGTGTGTGTGTGTGTGTGTGTGTGTGTGATTTCAATTGTGGCCAGGGTCCTCAGAAGGTGGGCCAGCACCCTGTAAACCATGAGGGAAGTTCCAACGCAGGCTTCTGACTGAGCATCACTCAGGATGCAGAGAGAAGGTGGCCTCTGGACTCCAGCAGCCTGCTGAAACCTGGGTTGGAGGACAAGGGGCGGAGGGAAGGGCACCAGAGCTTTATGCCTGCCTAGCACAGGGCTTTACTGTCCCGCAGCAACATCCCACAGCTGGCTTCTCAAGATCCGGCCAGGAGAGAAAGGGGTCACAGGGACAGAAACAATGCTAGGGCCCTCTTGGAGGGAGAATAGAAGTGGAATGTGGGGGCTCAGGTCCTAATACCAACTCAAGTCTCCTAAGGGCTAGGGACACCCTGGAGGGCCAGATGGCTCTGCCTTTCTGAACTGCCAGGAGTTGAGGAAGACAACCCCTGCTCAGGCAGCCGGGCAAGTGCAGCTGATGGGGGAGGGGAAGCGGAGGTAGAGGTGAAGGCCTGCAGTTGGCTAGAGGGCACTGAATACCACATCGCTTCTCACCTCTACCCCACGGAGTACCCTGTGTATGCTCCACCCCAGGGAGCTGATCCCTGCAGTAATTTCAAATGGCTTCTAAGAAGAGAGGGCCAGCCCTTCCCAGAGTCCCCCAGATAGGGCAGGCTGCCCTACTAGCCCTCACAGCACCAAGATGACAAAGATCCGAGATCTATCCCTGCCACTGGAGGGACTGTGGAGGCAGGAGTTCCAAGGAAGTGAGGCAACAGTCAGGGAAATAAATTAATAAATACAGGAGCCCCACGAGGAACAGCTGGGAAAGCCGTTTCACCTCTAAGAACTGATCCCTGCTTTCCACTCCAAGTATTTCCGCAGGTTTTGGTGAGCGGAGGAGGGGCTACAGTTTGGAATAGTGGGGCTTTCACTTGGGACAGGCTTCTGGAACTCAGAGTCTGCGTTCCATGCGCCGCTCCACAGCTTGAAGCAACAGCTCTGAGTACTGCTCGAGCAGGGCTTGCGTTTGCTCAACTCCCACAGCTGCAGGGCTTCCACCTGGGCTGGATAGCGTGGCCCCAGCTAGGGCCTCTAGCTCCTGCCGCACTGAAGAGAAGGTGTCTCTGAGGAGCTGAGCAATATGACTTTGCTCTGCTGAGGGCATCTTGCAGCTGGCCACCTGCAAAAGGATCCCCAGAAGTGAGTTAGAAGAACAGCAGAGGAGGCTGTCAACAGATATAGAAGAAGGAAGGGTGACCCACCTGGGTCTAGCCTGCCCTAGAAGGGACTGGCTGGGAGTTTCACCCTCCAAGATCAGCAAATATGGCCAGAGGATATGGAATATAGGCAGACTCCCACGGGGGTGGCCCCAAAGGAGGATACCAACAGATTATGGAAACCTCTACACCTTGTATAACAATTCACACAGACTCCACTCTCTTTCAAAGCTTGGGCCTTGTTAGACTGTCCCCTACGTCTAGGGTGGCCAAATAATTTTGTTAGGAAAAGGGATACCATCAATAATTACACCAAGACAACAGGCATAAACCAGGATTGTCCAGAGCAAACTCAGACATGTGGCCTCTCTATGTCCTACCTGCTGCCTGAGGGAAGGCTCTAGCTCTTAACCAGAAATGACTGACAAGGTGGCCTGGCCTTTAACTCCCTCACCTGCACTGGCCAGGATGTTCTTGATGCTCTACCCCATTGGTAGAAAAGCCGTATCATTACTGCCCTGGACACTCAGCTGTCTGAAACACTAGCACTACTGACATGCTCTCTTCCTGCCTGTGGGTACCCAGCACTCACCAGGTGGTAGAGTCGCACAGCCTGGTGCACACTGGTGCGGAGCTCTGCCACAAGTTGTTCACACTGCTCCAGGCTCACTTCTGGTTCTGAGACAAAGAGACAGAAACAGCTCAGTGAGGCCCAGCAAGCTGCCATTTCAGGCCTCCCCACCCGGGCGCACTCAGAGTAGGAGAGGCCTGGCCTTGGCAAGGCTCCCCTCACTCATCCACTTCCCTTCCAACACTCTCCCCAACACCACAGACAAGGTCCAAAGGAAAGGGCCAGCCCCAGGGTCCAGAAGGCACTGATGGGTAAGTGGGTCACAAGGAAATCATGAAGGTTGGCAGGTGTGTCTCACCATTAGGGGTGTGACTTATGGACCGAGACAGGAGCAGACAGGACGAAAAACGCCAGAAGCCGGAGGCACAGAAATGGGATGGAGCCAGAGAATGGCCAACAGAGACAGGAGAGAAAGGATGGGGCTGGAGATGAGAGCTGGGGAGCTGTGCACACCTGAGTCCTGGCTCAGGGCTGCCCCTGGCCTGGTGCATTCCATGGGATTGGGAGTCTTCTCAGGGGATGGGGGCTGCAAGTTCTCGGGGCCTCGGAGGAGACTGCTGACTGGAGGTTGCTGGGCACAGGGGCTGCTGGGCCCAGGATGAGCCTGGCATTCTCTCCTAAGCTTGGGAGTGGTACCCTCCCCCAAGCAGGCCCATCTCTCGGATGTACTGTGAGCCTTTCCTAGGCCCACTGCAAAGCCAGGCTGTTCTGCCCCACCAGGGGCCCGGCCCTTGGTTACAGGTGAGAACGTAGCCAGGGTGGGACGGTCAGGCAATGGTTTGGGGATGTCCAGGACCAAGTGAGCCCTACTGGGCAGGGCCAACTTGCTGAGTGGGGAGACGCGGATAGGGGCAGGAGCTTGAGGTTCAGCTGCCAGGCCTAGGTTCTCCCCAACAGAGATGCTGCGGGATATCTTGGCCATGGAACTGGTGGTAGGGTTCTGGCAGGAGTGGGGCTGAGACAAACAGCCATCAGCTGCGGGAAGGGAGCCCAGGCCATCCTGAGCCTCGCTCTCCCGTGAGAGCAATGGGCCTGGTGAAGGGGCCTGAAGACAGGCCTCATCTCTGTCTGCAGAGGAGACAAAGGAAACACAGGTGGTGAGGAAGGCATCCCAGGTGCTAAAGCCCAGTCCCCAGGACCTGCTGGTCCCCTGCACATGCTCACTAACGGACACCCAGTGGCAAGCACGTGACACATCAGGGCCACACCAGGCCCTCCCTTCTCCCATGCACAAGTGTTCCACACTCCCCTCACCCTGGAACTGAGCCCACCAGGTGCCTCACCCTGTGAAACCAGACTGTGCACAGACTGGGCTTTCTGGAGTCCACCTAAGGGGCTGGTTGAAGCCACTATCTTGGGAGCCCAGCTGCTGTCAGGGTTGAAACGGCGTCGTGGCAACAGCACAGGGGCAGCCTGCTGTGGGCTGGGGTTGCCATGGGCAGACTCTGCCTCTGGGGGTGCTCCTGGGGGATTGGCACCATTGCCTTTCAGCTGCTCACCAGATGCCTGTGGCACCTGGGCTGTCCTCAACATCAGTGCCAGGCTTGAGGAAGATGGGGATGGTTCCCTACAGGGAGGAAATATGGAAGAAGACCCAGGGAAAGCTCAATATTCCTCCCTACTAAGGAGCTCTCCTAGTACCAGGGAGGCACTAGGAGGGAAGGACAGGCACAAAGTCAGACAGGGTTGGGGTAAAGCCAGTCATCCCAACAACCCTTGGGCATGGAGAGACAGAGCTCTAGAGAGAGGAGGATTGCGTGCTGCCCCACCAGTCATCCCAACAACCCTTGGGCATGGAGAGACAGAGCTCTAGAGAGAGGAGGATTGCGTGCTGCCCCAGAGAGCACTGACTGGTTAGGAAAGTCAGAGCTGCTGTGGGGAGAGGTCTTTGTACCTGAGTGGAGGGGTCTGCACTTGCAACAGGAATCGTGAAGAGATGCTCCGAGACTCTGCCCTCTCTGGTACCCGGACTGGGCCCCCTGCCAGTCACAGAAATCATGAACTGAGGCAGAAACCAAGCCCTTGCCCCAGATATTGCCTTCTCAAGGAGACCCCAAGGCATTGCCTACTGTTGAACCCTCCCTTCTTGGGCAGGCAAAGAGAGGACGAGGGTAGATTATGCTGACCAAATGCTGGCCCTCTCATCACACCTGGAGCAGCTCCATTGGCCAGAGTCTCAAAATGCTGTTTTAGAAACTGCTCCTGGTCTGGGGTACGGGGGCTGCCTTCCTGCAGCCCATAGGAGCCAGTGCCTCCCTCCTCTTCCTCCTCTTCCTCATCACCCTCAGCTGGCTCTTCAAGGTCTGAGGAGATGCCATCCACACTCAGGGGTTCTGTGCTCTCGGAGTCTGGAAGTGGGGGAGGAGAGAGAAGCATCAGGCTGCACCCATCTGTCACTAGTGCCTCCAGTCCCACCTCAGCCCACTGACCCCTGCCTCAGGGCTGCAGCCTCACCTTCATTGGGGTGCTCGGGGCTGGAAAGACAGCTGCTGCTATAATCCACAGAGCAGGCACTGTCAGGACTATGCTTTTCAGAGCCCCTGCAGCCTGGGTACACTCTTCCCAGGTTTCCTCGGGCTGGAGCCTGCACCTGGAACTCGCTGTCAGGATTCCAACAGGGGAGGGGAAAGGCAGTGAGCAGAGGTGAGCAGTAGCCCACTGGACTCCTGCCTGTGAGCAGGACCAGGATGAGGCGGTGGTGAGGTGGCGGGAAGCCCTGAGTATCCTGGAGGACAACCCTCCCCCAACTAAAAACCGTCAGAGGGAAGGGAAGACTGGGGCTGACTGGCCAGGACAGGACTCTTGCCTGGTATCCACAGTGGGGCTGTCACTTGACTCTGGGTAGACAATACCATCTTCAATGGGTGCAGGCTCCAGATCTTGGGCAAAGACCCCTTCTTCTTGTGACAATAACCGGATAATGTGGGGGTAGCAACAGGGTTGGGAAGCCTGAGGCCGAGGGGGCTTTTCATTCTGGGAACACACAAAGGGGCATCACACAAAGGGGAACTCACAAAGGGGAACTCACAAAGGGACGTGAGACAAGATGGAGGTGGGCAAAGTCTGGGTATGCATCAATTCTGTGGTAAGCTGAACACTCCAGCTCTGAGAACAGACACCAAGAGCCAAGCAGGGCTCCAAGTGATGATGTGAGCTTCTAGAAAAACTACATTAGCACTCTAGCCTGCCTCCAGTTACCACTTAACACCAAGAGTCCTCCACAGAATCCAGTCCAGGGCAAAAGGCTACCTTTGCCTCTCCTCCCTAATCCCTCCCCCCCACCGCATCCGATCACCACATCATACAGCCCTAGCCAGCCTCACCCTAGCTTTGCAGTTCAGGTTACCCATGTACCACAGGGGCAGAGCAAGCAGAGCTGGAGCAGTGCTCAGGCCCAACTGGTAGCAAAGGCAGGGCTACAGCTCCTCAGAGCTCTCTTGAGAGTCAAGAGAAAGCTGGCTCACCTGGCTAGGATGGGAAGTCTCAGGGACCTGCTGACCATGCTTCCCAGGACCTGAGGAGGTCATGGCCAGCAAGTCCTGGCTGGGGCCCCGCGGGCTTGGGGCCAGTGTCTCCAGCTGCCGCAGGTCCAGCATGGAGCGAACACTCAGCTCCACGCCTGGCTGAGCCCAGCGCCCTCTTCTTCTGGGTCCTGGGTTGGCTACAGGAGCAGGGTCCAGGAACTCCACTGTCTCCTGTGATTGGTGGGGGATGGGGGCGGGGAGGATTAATGACAACCACCACACAATAATATCAACAAACACTCATAAACCCCTCATTATGTGCCAGGCACTGTACATGTATTAGCTCACTTTATCTTCACAGCAACCTTCTGAAGTTATTATCACTATTTTACAGATGGGATAACGAGCACAGAGAGCTTGAGTAACTGGTCCAAGTCCCACAGGCAGGAAGTGGCCTGCAGGTTAATCTGGCACCAGAGTTCACGCCTTTAGCTGTACTTTCCTCTCCAATAGGGAACATCTAGTCTCAGCCTTCTCCTGGTGCCATGGACACCTCAGAGCTAGGAGTCCAGAAAAGTCCCCTGCTCTGTGGACAGCCCCAACAGGCCCCCAAGGTCCCTTCATAGCACCAAAGACAAATCTACAGCCCAGGCTTGAGACCCTAGCCAGGTCAGAATGCACCATCACTCTGTCAAAGTGTTGCTGACAACGGAAGGGGCTGGTACCTGAAGTCCCCCTGGGGAGAAGTGAAGGCTGGGCTGCCTGGGGGTTTTCTCCGAAAGCCTTCATCCCCCTGCTGGCTAGCCTGAAGTAGTCACTCAGTGAGTGGTCCTCTTATGGCCTTTTTTCTCTAACTATTCTGGAAATTCTGAGACTACTCCCAATTGGTGACTTCAGAACTACTGTTTCTAAGACAGTTCCAAAGATTTTTATTCTTTGGACTGTTGATTTTCCTGCACTTTAATTCTAACCATTTGGCTCAAACATCCTTTTCCTGCTCCACACAACAAGCTGGTCTTTGATGACATTTACTCCCAGGCACTACCAGGCAGGTGAACAAGTGGGGCACATCCCCTAGTGCGGAAAAACCCTTGCGGTTTGCCTACCTCATGTGGTCCACAGCAAGGTAATGCCTGGGCTTTCTTCACCACTAACCTGGAACCAGACTAGCTGTTTGAACTCCCCTTCTTTGGACACAGGCCTTCTTTGGACACAAGCCTGGAGCATGTGGGCAGACCCCAAGCCCCAGAGCCTCAGCAGGCCTGAGGAGCTCTACTTTCACCTCCCTTCACCTTCAGTAGTCTTGGAAGGACATTTAACAATGACTCACCCGACTCATCTCCCAGTGGGATAGGCTTCGGGACAGGGCTGCACTGGGAACTGAGCCTAGATAGAAACAGGCAGTCAAAGGGAGTGTCTCCTGCCCACCCACCTCTAGAGCCCTGACCCCACATCAGCTCACACCCTGTGGTCACAATGATACCCCAGCTTTCTCAGGTCACAGTGTTCTTACCCTATAGTCCCTGAAAGGACACATCTAACCTTTATACCAGCTGGGGGCTGTCTGGCCCCACAGTCAAATGCCACAGACCTGGCTCTTTCTTGGTACTCTTGGCAAGGATGGGTAGAGCTGGAAGTTCTTCTTCTTCGGTACCCTCGTCTTCTCCCTCTTTGTCACTGTCTGATGAGAGAGCTGGTCCAGGAGAGAGCATCGATGGGGCCTGGTGCCTGAGTCCAAGATAAGGAAGGTCATGGGAAGGGGGAAACTCAGTGGAGGAAGAGGCTGACATCATGAGTTTTTGTGTAAGAAGCAAGGTCTTGAGAGATACAGAGTCACTGCATGGCGGGTCTACAGCATGGGGGAGGAGCAGTAAGGTCACAGCAAGCCATGTAGATACCCCCCATCACTTGCTCATACCCTGTTCTCACCTCCTGGGTCCAGAGGCCCTTTGGGGAGAGGATGGTCCTTGCTGCTTGCCTCCTCGCTGGCGCTGGCGCAGCTCAGCCAGACGCTGCCTCATGCTGATGGTCATCTCAGAGCTCAGGCGCCACACAAATATGCAGCTGGGGTAGAGCCACACATTGGGTGAGAAAGGGGCAGGGTGGAACTCTGGAGGGGCAACACCATAGTTCCCCTTCTCCATGGGCTACCAAGGAGACCAGAGCCAGCCTCCACTGCCAGGTCAGGCCCAGCCATGGGATATCCCTGTTCAGCTTCACTTTCCAGAGACATTGCTGAGAAAAAGGGGAGGGAGAGGGACAGAGTGCTGTGGCACAGAAGCTGGCTTTTGCTCACCTGTCCCCTGACACAGAGATGAGATGCTTGCAGTCATTACTAAATTTCATGCCAGTGACAATCTCTGTGAAGAACAAAGAATATGGTCCATGAGCCACACTGAATTCCCAAGGTCCTGTTTGTCCCAGCAGTGGAGATGGGGGTTGGTTGGAGGGTAGGGGCAGGTAGTTCTGCTGGGTCCCAAGAAACTAAGGAAGAAAGAGTAGTTCCAGGAATCAAGTACTAGGCTATACTGACCTGAATGGCCAAACATTGTGGCCACACACTCGCCCGTGGAGAAGTCAAAAATGGAGAGGTTCTTATCGGAACAGCTGGTAGCAATGTAGATCCCTGAGGGGTCTGTTTGCACCTGAGGAGTGGGACACACAGCTGAAGGAACGTGGGAAGTGCCAGTCTCTCTCTACCTAGTACCACTCTGACCCCTAGTCCCCGGCCCAGTGCCCTACTGGGCCCTTACCTTAATGAGTGTGCCATCCTCACCCTGTGACCCTTTAAACAGCTTCTTCTGCTTCCCACTGCTGATGTTAAATATCCTATAAAGAAACACGCTCTCATTCACATAAGGAGGAGGTGAAGAGCAAGCATTCCGGGCCAGTTTCCTCTGAGAGCTACCCCCACCAACACCAAAGTGGCTACCACCTCTTGGGTGAGGTGAAGTGCTCATTCTGTAGGCTTGAGGGGGTACAATGTCCTGGACAAAGAGACAGATGTGGAAGCTTAGCTGCATGGAGCTGACCCCCTAGGGTGATGAAAGAAAGTGATCAGACAGTCTGGGAAGTGTATGCCCACCGAATATTTCGGTCCTGGCAGCCGATTGCCGTGTACTTCCAGCTGGGCTCCACATCCATGTCATAGAGAGTCGTCTTCCGTACTACGTGGTGTGTCCGTGTAAACTGTACTCCATCTCCAGACTGCAGGGGTGGAGCACACGGGCAGACCCACACCTAAACACCTCACCAGGCCCAGAGAGCCCTACTTTCGCCTCCCTTGAACTCTTGTAACCTCAGGCAGGGGAATGGCAGAGAGCCCATGCCCATTCCCGTCCCTTCAGGAAGGCCCAGTACCCTCACCTTCTGTGCAGTGCGGAAGTAGATGCTCTTGTCTGCACCACAGCTGATCATGCGGACTTGCCCATCGCTGGCTACGGAGGAGGGGCACCTAGCTGTTCCCACCGTTCTCACCACACGGGGGCAGCCTGTCCTCTGCCTTCCCTCCATTATTTCCTCCCATCCAGCTACTCTACATGGCTAGGACAACCAATGAAATCAGAATACTTCTCTCTAAACCCAGACTTTCCTTTCTCCTCGTTCTCAGCCCAACCTGGTTTGCTCAGATACCCTGGACTGAGAGTCTACACTCCACCTGTCTTCCCATCCAGCTACAGGCCTCCCAGCTGCTGTCTAGCACTGCCCCATGGCTGGCAGACTCTTTTCATGGAGGTGGGAAGCAGGTGGAAGTGTGGGTGAAGAGTAGTGGTGGTTGGTGGCAAGATGCGTCCCAGTCGCTCTGCCCCCACCTGCAAACTTGACGGCAGTGATGGAGGATGAGTGCTCATCCAGCGTCTGCTGTAGGCTATATTCCCGTCCAGCATCCAGCACATGGATCAGCCGGTCCCGGCTTGCTGACGCTAGCAGCTTCAGACCTGGGGTTGGAAAAACTCTATCAGCCCACGAGTACCTTGAGTAGACCCTTATCTGAGTCTAGTAAAGAGCCTTGAGGGAATGGAGCCCCATATCCCTCAGTCACATGAACCATGGAGCAGGGATGGAGCTCTCCTCCCATAAGCCCGCAAAGACGCCAAAGGATCCAAGGGATTATCAGTCCCACATCCAAAAGCCAAGATAGATATAAGTGGCAGGATTGGAGGAGCCCTGTGCCATTCTCGACTAGATACGGGGCCTCCTCTTTACCTGTGTCTGGCTTGGAGTACTCCAGGCACAGAATCTCTGAGTCATGGGCCTCTACCTTCAGCATCTCACTCAGGGACTGAAGTTCATGCACCCTGCAAAGATGAAAAGAGGCAGGAAGAGGTCATTGCCAGGCTGTAGGAAGAAGGACTCACCTCCCTTCCTCTGTTACATTCTCTCTCCAAAACCTTTATTTTTTAAAACATTTTTTTGAAATTTCAAGCTTAGAGAAAAGTAGAGAGTATTTCCCTTATCCTAGCTGGCTTTCCCTAATGGTAACATTTCACAATGATCAAAACTAGGAAATTCACATTGGTATAATACTATTAAAGACCTTACTCAAATTTCACCAGTTTTTCCACTGTCTTTTTTTTTTTTTAATCAAGGTCTCACTGTCACCCAAGCTGGAGCGTAGAGGCATGATTACAGCGCACCACATCCTAGAACTCCTGAGGTCAAACAATCCTGCTTCAGCCTCCCAAGGTATGCACCACCACACACAGCTAATTTTTAAAAATTTTTTTGTAGAGACTTGGTCTCACTATGTTGCCAGGCTATGTTGTTCCTGGGCTCAAACGATTCTCCTGCCTCAGTCTTCCAAAGTGCTAGGATTGTAAGTGTGAGCTACTGCGCCCATCCCACTATATCCTCTTTATTGACCCATGATTCTATCCAGAGTCCAAATTGCACATAGTTATTATTTCACCTTAGACTCCTGTAGTCTGTAACACTTCTTCACCTTTCATGATCTATACAATTTGAGTTTGATGTTTTCTCATGATTGAGTATATACATTTATGGCAAGAATACCACTAAACCAATGATATGCCCTTTTTAGTACACTGTATTATGAGCTTCACGATGATGATGATGATATGAGGATGATCGTCTAGTTAAGGTCATTTCTGCTAGGTGTCTTCATTGTAAAGTCATTTTCTTTCCCTTGTAAATAAATATCTTGTTCCCCTGCATTTTTTAGCCAAACCCTCCTAAAACTCTGTCTATGGGGCTAAAAACCCCAGCTTGCACTATGAGAGGCAGTCAGTATCCACTCCAGGCCTGGCATTACCTAAGTGTGCCCATACGGTCCCCTGAAGCTAGATGCTGTCCATTGGGGCTGATACACACAGAGCGGATGCCCACGCGGGGATCCATCAGTGAACTATCAGCTTTGTCTCCTCCAGGCAGCTCCGTGTCCAGCAAGGCTTGAGTGTTCCCATCCACATAGATGATCTTAATGAGGTCCTAGTGAAACAGGTCAGAAGAGGTGGCTGAGGCAGGCCTGACCCAGCGCAGCTGTAAGTGGAGAAAAAGCTGAGCAAGATAAACCCTTGGTTCGTTGATTAGGCAAATGAGGGCTGGAAAGTCAAGGTCTGGGAACGCAGTTCCTGAGAACAAGGTACAGAAGCTGGGGGGATGAGGGCACTAAGGGTGAAGTGGGGCTCACATTGCTGAGGATGTTTCGGTGCAGGGTAGAGCCATGTACCCCAGAGCTTTCTGTGTTCCACAGACGGATGGTGTTGTCTGAGGAGCAGGTAATGAAGGAACTGGGGGGCAGGCAGGCCTGGTTACTGTCCTTCACCTCAGGGTAGACCTGAAAGGGCAGAGAGAACAGAGTCAGACCTCCATGTGGGGTACAGTCCTTTGCCCAAAGAGATGGAAGGAAATGAGATGAGAGAATGGCAACTAGGACTTAGCCTAGTACCTGTCGCATGGCAAGCATGCTGTAACTGTCAGACACTCTTCATAAACACTAAGGAAAAGCACATTAACTGAGCACCCACTATGCACCAGGCACTCTTCTATGCCTCCCACTTACATTTCATTTTATTCTTAGAACAGTAAAATGAATCAATTAGATGAATTTGTCATTTTATAGTTGAAGAAACTGAGGCTTGGTCAAATTCAGTAACTTGTCTAAGATTACCAAGGCAAAACTAAGGATGGACAGAGGCACACTGGAAAAAGCCTGAGATGGATGAGCACTACAGTTCAAGCTCAATCCCCAGGACCCATTACAGGGATGTCCCTGGAGAAACAGGGAGGCAGCAGGAGCATAAGGTTATACTCGGGGATTTCTGCTTTCTGTCCTCACAATGGTATCCCAGCAAACCTGGTCAGTCTCCAGCCAGCCAGCCCAGCCCACATACCTCCACACTCCAGACGCAGGAGGAATGATACAGAGCCGAGTACACCTTGCCCACTTTCTTGGGGTCCCTCACATCCCAAACATAAATGCTGTGGTCGTTGTACACACAAGACAGCCACTGATTAGTAGGATCAAAGGTCAAGGCAATGGTGTCTGGATACCTGGCATTGGCCATGCCAGAGAAGAGGCGACTGTTGGGGAGAGGACAGGGAAAACTGTAGAGACTGAAGGGAATCAGAAGAGAATCCAACCCACAAAGGAAGGAGTAGAGTGTGGGGAGCCCTCCCCAGATCTACAAGTTTGAAATTAGTTGCTTGAAAAAGAAAAAATTGGCCGGGTATGGTGGCTCATGCCTATAATCCCAGCACTTTGGGAGGCCACGGTGAGAGGACTGCCTGAGCCCATAAGCTCGACACCAGCCTGGGCAACTTGACGAGAGCTCATCTCTAAAAGAAAGAAAAAGAAAAAAAAAGCAGCCCCTAGCAGCCATCAACTAAGAACCAGCCTGGCACTAGCCACTGGGCCATGGTGTTCTCCTGATGAACACAAACAATTTCACAGAACACCAACATCAGACAAGGTAACACTGTGGCTGTGATGGAGCAAAACAAAACCAAGACTACTCTGTGCATAGATACAAAGATCACCTTACAGACCACAAATATGACCGAACATTGCCCTTCCCTGTCTGCATGATTGATGGCTGCTTCTATAGCAAATACAGTTTTAGCCCCACACTTCCCTTCACCTCTTAAATAAAAATTATCAAGATGTCTAGTTGTAGAATTGACCCCACTTCCTGATAGCTTTTACTAGAGCAGCACCTCAATCCCTTGACCCATTCCTAAAGTCACCTAATGCGATCCCAAATCCTGGGATAAGCCTCTCCTGACACCTGCTTACTGAGACTCTCCACAGTTCTCTATGGTGTGTGGTCTCCTTGGTTGCAACAAGTATCAATAAACTCAAATTCATTTGTCTACAGAGGTGTTCCTGGTAATATCTGGGGCATCAATACACTCTTCACTTTGTTTCCTGAAACACCACCAAAAAAGGCTAGGCACAGGATAAGGCTCTGGATGGAGGAAGGGGACCCGCATGGCTCACCTGGCCTCAGTGACGCTGGCAATGTCTGTCCCCAGGGCATGCGGTCGAGGTAGGGTACTAAGGAAGTGCAGGTTAGAGGGGTTGAAAAGGCGCACAGTGCCATCAGCACAGCCACAGAAGATGTAGTCTTGGCTCACAGAGATGCAGTGGGCCACTGTGGTCTGTGGGCAGAGGGACTCAAGTCAGCAAGGGCCACCTGCCCACTCAGTCTTCTCTCCTCCTCCCTGACCCCTCACATCAGTCACCTGCCAAGAGGAGAGACCGGCAAGGGCAAGGGGAAAGCAGCTCAGCTGCTCTGTCCTGAGCCCCTCAGCTGTCATCTAGAGAGGCCCCTCCCTCCAGCAGCAGGTGGCCAGAGAGTGCACAGCCCTGTGTAGTTGGAGGGTGAGAACCTTCTAAGGCACAAGAGGTTTTGGCAAAGAGGATAAAGTAGGAAAAACCCAGCAAAGAGAAACAGCATGAGAAAAGAGAAAGGTGTGGGCACCACTTACTGTGAAGCTGTCTGTGTTCTGAGCAGAAGAGGAAAGCAGGGGAAAGAGAGACAGAAAGAGAGAGCAGAAAGGAGGCAGTTATACAGAGTTCAAGGGCTGGAACTGGGTCAAGCTCTAGCTCCCCTAAGCTTCCTTCACCGGGGGTCCCCTCCTGCATGCATGAGGGCCCAGGCAGTAGTCTGAGCCCTGGGCACCAGTTCCCCCTGAGCTGAGACATGGACAATCCTTACCCTGGGGACAGAGGTACTTACTCTCAGCTCTACCCACTTGTCCAAAAGCCTCCGATCACTGAACTCGCATAGCAGTCCCGAGGATGTGATGCAGAAGGTGCTGTCCGCCTTCTTCCCTCGGCCACAGGCCACATCAGTGAACAGGTTGTTCCGTAGCTCCCCCAGCAGTCCTGATCGGCCCAGCAGGGGCACAGTGGTGTTCACCTGTGGAGACACACCACTGTTATCCACCCTTCCACCCCAGAGCCTGCCCCGGAAAACTAGGCCCTAGGAAGAGAGAAGACACCTCAAGCCCCCTTTGCTCTTTGAGACTACTCCTCAGCCCAGAGAGCATCTGGCTCCCCCAAAACTCCTGTATAACTATTGAGAACTCAGAAACAGACCTAAGTGGAGCAAAGTCTCCTGGGGTGGACTAGCAGGCCCCAACCCTGGCAGCTACTTCCAGCCTTAGCACCTCACCTTTGAAGTCTTGCTGTCATCGAGATACCAGAATTTGATATGCCGGTTGCCTGCAGTGACAAAGTAGCTGCAATCTTCAGAGAAAGACACTGCTGTCACTCGACTGGACACCTTGTTGGAGGCCACCACAACGTTTTTCTGGAGGGGAAGTCAAAGGAAGAATCAAGGCTCTGTCTACCTTCAGGGGCTAAGAAGAAAGAGGCTCAGAGAATGGAGAAGGGTTAGAAAAAATTTACACTTGAAAAAAATTTCTTTCCGGGAATTAGAAGTCAGAAAAAGAAGGGTGGAAAGATAATCCCTTTCTAGAGGTGGTGAAAAGACTCATTTCTTCTGGAGGTCCTGGAAGGTATAAAGCTAGCCCCTTCTACCAACACACTTGGCTACACAGTTGCTCTTTTCTGCTTCAAATACTTTTCTAGAATGAGAATGAGATCAGTAGGGTGGAGTGAAACAGTTCCCCAGCTGACACTTGGACCCCTAAGAGACTGCCAGCTCACTCACCTTCCAGGCCCAGACGTTGACGATCATGTCATGCTGGTAGCCCACAGAGACTATGTACTTGGCACTCGGAGAGAAGGCCACACAAGCCACACCATACTTATGCTCTTGCAGCTCTGCCACCTGGCTACGCTCAGCCACGTCCCAAACACGCACAGCCGGCATGTGCCCACTCTGTAGGGAGGGCAGGAAGGCAAGAACTGGCAGTGAGGATCATGGGCACATAGTCTCCCTTAGCCTTTCAGAATGGGAGCCCTCGCCTCTTTAGCTTCTGAATATCATCTTTCTAATGGCACCCTGGCCAAGAGCAGGGTGCTATTCAGGGCACGGTATGGAGGAAGCATGATAAATATCTGAGGGTAAAATGATTATCAGGAAGATAGTAGCCCTCCCTGGATTTTAGTCAGTATATCTGGGTGAGCATCTGCACCTCTATATTTGTTCAAAGCTCCCTCACTGATTCTAATGGCCAGTCAGGGTTGAGAACGACTACCACTCATGTCTACTTCTGCCTCCCACTGCCTCCCTTAAGAGACCATGCAAAGGCAGAGGTGTTCCTCATGTAGCCAGCAGGGGGCCTTCAGGGACAAAGAATATTTTAAGGCAGCATGTTCCCAGCCAGTGCTTCAGCATTACCTGGGAACGCTCTAGAAATGCAAATTTGGAGTCCTCCCCTCAGACCCACAGAATCAGAAACTCTAGGGACAGGCCCAGCAATGTGTGCTTTACCAAGCCCCCCCACCAGGTGATTGTGATGCACACTAAAGCTTGAGGACCACTGTTTAAAGTACAGACCAAACCAGAATTTGGCATCTGTTCAGAAAGCGAAGAGACAACTGCCCTAAATAGGCCTAGGACTAACTCTCTGCTCCTCACAGTTCTGCCCACCCTCTTCACAGTTCTACTGTCCCTCTTCCTTACTCACCTCTCCAGTGACCAAGTACTTGCCATCAGGGGAGAAGGCAAGGGCAGTGATGGTTTTCCTGCAAGAGACAGGCAAGCTCAGGGGGGCACTGACAGCCTGGCCTAAGCCTAGCGCACTCATGGCCTTCAAAAGGTGAGTGAGATCAGCAGGCACCAAAGGCATGTGCAGTACCTCCCTATCTGGTCCTGGAACCCAAGCAGGTCCCACTCCCAGAGCCACAGAGACCCTAGACAGTGCCCTTCTCATAGTCCCCAGGAGGAAGAGGTACTCTCAGAGGGCCCAGGCCCATTTACCTGGAACTGTTGAGGATGTGGTGTTGTTTGTGTTTCCGAGGATTGAACAAAACGACCACACACCTAAGGAGATGAGCAAGACAGTAGGCTTAGCACCAAACCATAGCTCTCCCTGGGGTCCATAGACCACCTGGGACTTCCAATCACCCAGGGAGGGAGCTGGGTCGAGCAAACTCAGAGGAGCTCCACTGCTTTCTCCTGGCAACCTGTTCTTGCTTTCTTTCCCTTCCCAAGAGGGCCTATCTCAGCAGCCCTAAGAGTGAAAGGGCTGCCTGGAAGCTTACCCCCACCAGATCCCTAAACTCCAGCCTATCTGTGGTCATGCCCACAAAGGGCAGGAGGGACACAGGTCATCCAACAGACCTTGTACATATCACAGGAAGGGGCACTGGAGGAAAGAGTAAATGTGATTTTGGCAAAGCAGGCCTCAGGTGTACAGCCCATTGGCAGGCTTGGGCCACACGTGTGTCAAGCATTTGTGCTCTAAGGAGAGTTAAAGCCTCTCACATACACAACCACGTGTGTACCTGGCAGGAGCCGGCCCCCACACCTTCCTCATGTTGGATGAGGAAAAGGAGTGGGAAGACGTACAGGCAGCCAGAACTGCAGAGACACTCAGAAAGATGGTGGGGGGAGAGAGGGTGGAGCCTGCGAGGGCCTGGGAAAGCCTCACAGTGCCATGGAGCTCCTGGGCCCAAAGAGCCTGAGAAGAGCCCCCCTGCAGGCAGGATTCTGCCTGCCTTGCAGAGAAGGTAGGGAACAACCTTGCTAGCCAGACAGCAAGGTTGCTGGATGGGATCAGGTCCCGACTGACTTTCCAGAGGCAGCTCTGGTGAGAGAAACTGGGTGGTAGGAATCAGGGGCAAGAAGCCAGAAGCCAACAGCTGGGCTGTGTTCTTGTAAGGCTCCTTGGCTGCCAGCAGGCCCTGGTCTTTTGCCCCTGCTGCTTCACCTCTTCACCGACACTGGAACTAGCTGACAACAGCAAGCCTGGAGGCTATGAAACCAGGACAGGGGAGATAGCAGGAAAGGGGAGGAGGGTGAACAGACAGCTACTTCCCACAGAACCAACCTTCCTTAGTGGGAACCCCATTACTGGCTAGAACCTTGACGGGGTAGTACAAAGTGCTGGTGAGTGCTTAGCATCTCAGGCTCAATGAACCACTTCAATATGCGATTCCCCGGTAATCTTCCCTGGGAACACTGGGGCCTCCAATGTGACCAGATATGCTCAGAACTGCCAGGTTGGCCAAGAGCTATGGAATTCCTGAGTCACATCATCATCTACTCTACCCCTCAACTCTTCCTTACTATTTTCCTTCTCTTTTCCCCCCGTTTACTACTCTTTCTCCTTTCTCTCTTTTTCAGACAGAGTCTTGCTATATTGTCTAGGCTGGTTTTGAACTCCTGGGCTCAAGCAATGCGGGAGCAAATCTCAGAGTCCCTAGTAGCTGGAATTACAGGCATGAACCACTTCACTTGGTTCTTCCTCTCTCTTTTTATACCACTTTCATCTCCTGCTTCCCCTTCTAGAATACCATGGTCAGGGTTTTTTATTGATTCATTTATTTATTTTTACTTTTTTTTTTTGAGTTGGAGGCTCACTCTGTCGTCCAGACTGGAGTGCAGTGGCCGCTCCCGGCCACCGCAGCCTCGATCTGCTGGGCTCCAGTGATCCTTCCGCCTCAGTCTTCCAAGTAGCTGGAATTACAGACATGCGCTACCATGCTCGGCTGATTTTTTGATTTATTGTAGAGATGAGGTCTCACTGCCCAGGTGGGTCTCGAACCCGCGGGCTCATGT